CTGTTGTGGGTCTTTTTTATAGTATGACACAAATTCTGATGTAACACGGTGGAAATTACGTTGGTGGAAATGACGTCATGATAACAAGATATGACGTCACATACTACACTGATGTTGATGCACCTTGTTATCTGATCAGAATCTACAGCCATTCTTGTCTTGGATAAGCTGTATACTCTCAGAATGTAAATATAGGTATTTTTAACCTTAGTAAATAAGAATAGTTTGTTGTGCAGCAGTTCGATATACTGACTAAACGATTTTATACGGAACGTATCTTTCATTTTCATTATATATATGTAATCATTTCTTTGAATTGCATATAGAAGTGATACATATAGGGAAGAGAGTTTTTTGTCAACTTCTTTATTATGAGGAACACAAGGATATATCATTACTCCTTCATCCTTACATGTTCATTGTCAATTCAAAATGTTGACATACATGCCATGTTGTGACTCATTTTATGACAGAATATATACGTACTATTTGTCAAAGTGACGACAAAGCTGACAAGGCTTTGAAATACTACAGCAATGTACCGATAAATTGTACGTTTTCTGTTTGAGTTATTTCTTAGGTTGTCGGTTTCAAATGAAGCTTTGAATGTTCAAAAGAATCAATAAATACTTTGTATTCATTGCGAAAATCGTGTGATATTTAACACCTTTTGTTGTCGAGAACGTCCGGCTGCAAATAGCCAATAATAATCGCAAAACGAAAAAGGTTATAATTTATCTCCATATTGCATGCGGCAGTACAGTAAACCGCATCTTCAGACATTAATATGTGAACTATTTATCATATAAACCTGTCACGTTATGACATCGAGATGTTAACGTTATGTGTTGTTTTTAACATGAAGACATATGCGTGTGTGTTATCTGCCAGACGATCTTCCCCGAAATCAAGCATGCTTTAAGATTATCATCAAGAATGCTTTAAAATTATTAATACAGATCCTTTTAACAGCAAAATCGATTTCCGTCACAACCGCTTGGATCCAGGAATCGTCATGTTTCCCTGTCAAGCATTTGGGTGCACGTAGCGCGTCAGGAAGCAGCCGGTTTTAAACCGATTTCTAGTACAATTAGCATGGCACACAAGAGCATTCGAGACAATTGGTCGCCCGTAAATATGATGTGAATGCTCTAATGGCGTTTATTAACTTTCTGCTTGACAGTTTGTCTTGGCTATGGCACGAGCTTCCTCGCTCAACACACGTGTGTTCCATGTAGGCCGGGAGACGCGCTCAGAGAAGTGATTCCATCTCATTGGCTGATTGATGTGTCATGGAAAGGTCACGAAGGTTTAGACACCCAGTGTGCTGGCCAGGCCGAGTGATATATATCAGCGTTTAGAAATCGGGTGGCAGATACATGTTTATATATCTTATGTTGTTTTGGTAATAACCAATTTACATTTCCATGTCGATATTGGATGAAGAAATCGTGACATTCCTGGAATATCCTCACCAATATAGCGTACGTGAGATATGGTCACGAGTGTACGTGATCCTTTGCAACACGAATCATTCCTGTCTCGTTTGCCGAACTGAATCTCCTTGTCATGGTGACATGTATATTTTGTTTTTTCGTGTTTTATCAAAATAACATAACGTGTCACGTTTGTGCCACAAATAATGCTGCAGCAGTTCCATCCCCCCTCTAACGATAGTGCATACTTTCCCAAATGGTACATGACGATCGTATCCAAATGTTATCAAGTTTATCGAATAAATGCCACGACTGAATAGCTGTTTGGCCTGTAACAATGTATTTTGTATTGTAACGATTACATAATATTGTCATCAGAACTTTTTTGTATTATTATTGTAATTGTAAAAGGGCCTCCTTGTAACAGGGGCGGTGGGTAAGCTAGTGGTTAAAGCGTTCGTTCTCAGGCCGAGACGGCACGGGTTTGATTCCTTACATGGGTACAATGTGTAAAGCCCATTTCTGGTGTCCCCCGTGATATTGTTGGAATAGTGGCGGACGCTTTAACCACTAGGCCACCCCACCGTCCCTTACCCACAAGGCTATCGCCTCGCTCGAATTTAAGTACACTTATATACTGACGTGTATGCATGTTTATGTGTGGATACCCTACTTAGACAACTTGTTTGAGTGGCATTTAGAAGTTGGTGTGATGAACAACGAGGAGAGTTACTATGGATATACAACTTCTTTAATATAATCTGAGCGACGTTTCGGTGTAGCTACTAACACCGTTATCAAGCAGATGATGTACAATACTACAGGCAAGGTGTATATATATAGTAAAGTTGAACAGTAAGTGATTGATGTTTGCACAATTAATGAGGTTGATGTACAAGGTTGGAGGATGTTTACACAAGAAGGCAATTATTACACAAACAGAGTAAGCTATGGGGGATTATTGGGAGGAAGCCAGTGATATGACAGACAGGAGAATAATGGGATTAAGATTGCTTGGTGATGAGTTGGTTGTAGGCAGTGGGGATGTAATATCCTTGGTCTCTGTTCATGGCCGGTTGGAGTCTCTTGATGTGAATGGCTTCTAGTAGCTTTCTGATCTTGTAGTGGGTGTGATTACTGGAGAGTACATTGGTGCTGTTCCATAGGATGTTGTGGTCTGGATGAGCTTGGGTGTGGTCAGACATGGCGGATTTGGAGTCTTTCTTCTTCACAGAGGACTGAGGTTCTTTGATTCTTACAGGGAGGGGTCTTGAGGTTTCACCGATGTACGAGTCTCCACAGTCACACTTTAAGTGGTAAACTGTGCCTGAATGGTCTTCTTTAGTTGTGGGGGTTGGTCTGCCATTGGCTTTTAGGATGTTCTGTATAGAAGTACCTAAAGACAGACAAGATCTCTGACTCACACCGGCCACAACATCCTATGGAACAGAGACCACCAGGAACCACACCCACTACATCAGAAAGCACTGCCATTCACATCAAGAGACTCAACTCATGACCAAGCAATCTTACATCCTCACTGCCTATCTCCTGCAATCTGTCATATCACTGGCTTCCTCCCAATAATCCCCCATAGCTTACTCTGTTTGTGTAACAATTGCCTTCTTGTGTAAACATCCTCCAACCTTGTACATCAACCTCATTAATTGTGCAAACATCAATCACTTACTGTTCAACTTTACTATGTATATATATACCTTGCCTCTAGTATTGTACATCATTCGCTTGATAACGGTGTTAGTAGCTACACCGAAACGTCGCTCAGATTATATTAAAGAAGTTGTATATCCATAGAACTCTCCTCGTTGTTCACCCTACTTAGACGTAGAATATCCTATCCGACCCTTCATTGTTTATCCTATCAATCCTGAGCCCCAGGCACGGAAAGAACAAGCACCGTCATTTCACGTAGTATGATATGATACGTCCAGACATTAAACCATTCCGCCAATCCAAAATATAAAAGTATTGGTTCCAACATAAAAAGCAGGAGTCGCAATATTAAAATACACGTCAAACGTGATTGCCAAACATAGTTTTGGTTTCATTGCAAAAGAGCAGACAGACGCTCAGGCATGTAGTCACCAGCTGATCACACAACCACAATCATGTCCCCTTCTTCAAGTGCATATTGGTACCATATATATAAAGCCGGATTTTTACTTCAATGCCGAATAGTTACTGTATTTTTTATAAATGAAATTAAATATAGCCTTTTCATCTTTTAAATATCTCAGGATAGTAGAACCTGACCTAGCATGTCTGATGTAGGCTCTGATCACGTGTAGGTAGATCAAGTCACAACTACATACAAACCCTTTCATTCAATTTAACGTAGCGGCGAGCTTATCACGTAGCACGACTGACGCAATTGACGATGTTGTTGCTGCCCACGTTGCGCTATCCATTGACGTTGATAACTGTCCATGTCGACTACAATTCTAACGGTTAATTCGTGACATTCCCAATTCTCAGGCAATAACAATTTACATAATCGTGAGCTATACAGCAGAAATCAAGGACGGGGAAAATCGTAATTCAAGTTTTTCCTTCCCAGCAAACAAACCAACCATGCTGGAAACGCATTACCCACGCATATAATGCGTGCGCATTATGTTAAAGGTCGTAATGGACCTAGAAGTAGACTCGAGAGTATTTCTTCAGTGTGCTTGTCACTTTTAGTACCACGTGCATGGAAGAGAAATGGTGTCATCATATAGGAGATAGAGACACGTATTGGGAGTAGCGTTTCTGGTCAAAGAACACGTCTACTTTCTCGCTGATAATAAATCAAATTAATATTTTAAGGTTATTTTCTGTATGACAGCATCAAACTATTGCAATAATTTTGTAAGCGTTTATTAGGGTAACCACACTTTCAGTGTTGGTATTAATTAGTTACGATCATGCATCAGTTGCTGGTTGATAATATCTATGAACATGATTCATGTTTAACGAAACGTTTTTCATTAACATCATATCAAATCTTGTTTTTGTTTCTTTGAACAAAACCAGTTCCGAATAACACAAAATCCAGTAAATCCTTCCACAAATTGTAATTGATAAAAGTAACAGTTTCGATTTCATGACGATGCTGAAAATAATGAGTACTTTCAGAGGTGTCAATTTCAGCATTAATCCTGTGCCTCTGATAAACCATTATTGATTGTCAGCATCTGTAATGAAAAGTCACACCTCAACCAGCTCTGCCTCCACCAACAACGCGGCTGAAACACGCGTGTTTATAAAAATGACAATAATGTTAGATCCGACGAAAGGCATTCACCATAGAAAAGTCCCTAATGTGTTTGTCAATAATTGTTTATAACGTTCTCCGACATTCCCATATTTCTAAACCCAACAGAACCTTCTCCCAGCGCTGGGTAAAGTGTGTATGGCACAATTACCCACCCATTACGCGACTAGAAGGTCGAGAGCGCCTAATTTGGACGTTACAATGAGGTGGTCTTGCAACAAACTTCGAATCTCAGAGGACTTTGAAGCTAATTCCCGCGCATGCGTGCATATGCAATAAGGCCCGGCCATGCCTTCCGCTGGGAGCGACTTGTAATGGTGTTCACGCCGAAACAGCCGATGTTAGCGATCTTTTCTCGAACAGAGTATGGCGTCAATCGCTACTGCTAGGATTACACGGGCTGCCAGTGTTCGACCGGGGGAGAGAGTGATTTGCCTTTAGCTGGAATGAACGTCGATTTATAGTTAGCCTCCATTCTCCTTTGCCGTGATGTCTGCAGTCGTATTCGCCATGAGCTGGGGCCGTGTCTATTAGATGTCTGACTATCTCTGCCACCGGTATTCTACCACCGTTACTATGCTGACGACAAATTCCTCGTCTCGGTGTATGCAAGGGCAGGGAACAACACGCTGAAGCCAACCCTTCGGGAGATTCATCGAGTGGTACTATTTCTCATACGAACAAGAGGTAAGAGCCTACCCCTTTGTTTCAAGACACACAGATGTATTTGTTTCTGTGGATCGTAAGTGGCCAAATTCGAACGGATATAGGGATATGTATTTCCCCGGTATCTGAGGTGTGTCTAGAGATACCGCTGCTTAGACGATGGACTGTTGTTCTAAGAAGAGACTACTAACAGTCATGACAAGTATCTGTGCATGTGCGGCATTCGGCTTACTGTGTATTGCCGTTGCTACAGATTACTGGCTTTACACCGAAGAAAAGAAGAAGGAGTCCGAATTTAACTCAACTAGCCCCATGTACCGGAAGGTTTACTCAGGACTGTGGAGGAAGTGTGAGGAAAAAGGTAGGTTCTAACTCCAGTTCTAGCTCCATTATTACTTCTGTCCATCTCAAGGTGTCTGGGTGTAACATCCCCGTCTCTTTAACTCCGAGCCAGTCAGTTCGACTCGCTGCCAGCAGTAATTCCTACCGCAGCACATCCCCTCATCCCTCGATTCATCATCTTTAGTACAGATAAAGACTTGTAAACCACCATCCATCATCTTCAACATACATCTTCTCGCGCATTAAGGCTTCAGTTTTTAAAACCAGCCTCCAGAAGAATGAAAATGTTACCACCTTCTCTGAGAAAATGTTAAACGGTTTCTTTCGGATTCAATTACCCACTGTTCGGTCTTTCGCTACTGCTCAAGAGCCTGTGATTCTTATCTATCTAGTTGGGCGTAAAATTAGACCATTCGTGCTTTGCTGAGAGCTCTAGAGAAGCGGTAATCACTCTATCAAATATCGTGAGATGGTTGAGGGTGGTTGAGAGAAGCGAGTGCATGCACTGCTCGTGTTTGTTACCACCGCGGTAAAGGATGGTTGACAATATTTGCTTTACATCAATCATTAATGCAGAGACTTGCGAACGTTCCGCACAGACAGACCGGTGTATCTGAAACAAAAGCCTCAACACCGTCAGTGCGATGAATCTTTTCAAACGATCACGTGATCATTCTGATTTATTTTCTGTGAATGAACATGTGAAATACTAGCCTCGTATGCTAGAATGCTTTCTCGATCATAGTGCCACGACCTGGCAGAGATTGGTTGTAATGTACACAAAAATGGATTGTTTTTATGTAATGGTGGAACTAATGAGGTAACGGCGCTGGTGGAATTACCACATGTTCAAGACAAAGGTCTTCACCTAGCATGATAGGGATATACGTTTTGACACATGAGACTAAGGGCGTTATTGATTCTTTCTCCATTCACGACTAAATGTTTGCACCTGCAGCTAACCATTCACGTATTCCATCAAGTCAATGCGGTTTCCTATGGTCAATATCAAAATGAAACATCAGCATCACAGAATAATCAGTCTCATTGTCCTCTGACAGAGATTCCACCAGGCGTAAATACAAAAATGGCGGTGAAAATTTATAGAATAGATTAATGAAAATCGCCAATGACACTTTGTGTCAGCATGTCCTGCCCTGTTCAAGTTCAATCAAAAGCTACAGATGACGGAATCAGTCAAACATCGTCATCTGGTTTGCAGAATTTCTGCGAGAAAATCATATTTTAATGCTAAAGCATTGCATTTAATGAACGCCTCAGCAACATTACTAATGACCACTACTCACATTACTAACGTTGTGGACTAATCAACCAACATGGAAACACAATCCATGCCAATCGGTACTACAATATCTGAGATATAAATCTTATTCATGATATGTATGCGGCTCAAAGATATCGCGAGACTGCTAGGGGAATCCCTCCAGAAGCCTTGATCATTCCCATTGTAAAGGTGAACGACCTGCCGACTCTCCAAGTTACTGGGGAATCTTCGTCAATGACTAGAGCGTCGAAGAGGGCATTGATGAAGTGTTCGCCCCAGCTGCTGTGTATAAAGATTGACAGTTGATGACCACAGAGTCTTCATTAAAACAACACTCACTGGGACCAACTGTGGTTTAATAACGATAACGAATATTAATGTGCAGCACTATTGGATGCTTGTTATTATGGATATCTTAGCAATAGGTGATAATAACGTCTATTGAAAATTGCATAGAAAGGAATGACTCTGGAGAAGAGATTACACGCTGTTAGGTAGGACAATGGACTCTGCAACATTAAAATGGATAATTCTGGTTTTATCGAGAATGTCATTAAATCATATTTGCAAATTAACTGGCACTTCAGGATTACTATAACCATGAGTACAGCTATTCCATGGCGGTGAGGTGAACACAAGGTAGTGTTGATATTATATCAATGAAATCAATTCAAACACAAACACCCTGAAAAAACATAAAAATAATAATTAAAAAAATATTATTCATCTGTGCCATGTAGTACTGGAACACATAGTTAGAGAAACACGGTCATGCGATATGTAAGTGGTTTATGTAATGGAGGGCCACATAAATAGTCATACGTATTACAGCATTACCAATATAAGTATATATATTTTTTATTAGCGGTATGATAGAAAAAGCTCCAATGCACCATATCACTGATTGAAAGTATATTCTTGCTTTTGTTAGATATTCTTGTATCCCAACTTACTGGTAGAATCTATGGGGCATATATAAGAGTCAATTATTAAGCTGATCGACATTTACGAGTTTAACACATCTAACAAGGGGCTTTTAAGGGTTAAACCTCTAGTTAACGTTCAAACTTGACATAAATACACACTCAAGTTGCACAGGACACCATGAAAAATGTGTTTGTTCCCATGTTGCAAAGATGGGGTTGTGTAGCCTAATGGTTAAATCATTCGCTCATCACGCCGAAGGAGTTCGATTCCTCACATCTATGAGTAAACCCAGTTTTTGTTATTGTCGTCATGATATTTACGGAACATTGCTAAAACACGACATTTAGCCATACTCACACCTATTGTGCGAAATTATTTCAAGCTTAGTTTTAGATATGTTTGCCATGAGCCTGTCAAATTTATACAGTGCAATTACAGTATACATTGAGACAAATACAACATGATGAACGATGAGGGCTTGAAGCAAGGTTCCTTATGACGCAAAAGGAACTTATAACGTGATGGAGGAGCTGACCCATATTTTCCCGAATCGATAAGCGGAGAATAAAGTGCCGAAAGGTGCGAGTATAAACATTTCTAATATGTATTGTACATGACTTGGCTATCATGTGCGGGAATACATTCCAAGAAGGTGTTCGACATGTGGTCCAGGGTGGTGTTATAAGATAGCCTCGATGGACATGCGGTATTCAGATTGGGGAATTCAGTTATAAAGGAAACGTATGTAGTTTGTTTAAACCATTCGTGTGCATTACGACGTGCAGCCACCACATAATGGTGTAAGACAAGGATATCTGCTTGCTGGCTGTCCATTGTATGATTAGGATTGCGCAGTCGACTGTAGGTATACACGTGTTACGAGCTGCAACTGATGGGATCGAAGATGTGACCAGCACCGATGACGATGTAGAGGTTCTCAGTATTTCGTGGATAGAAGCCGACACTAACACCTCATACAGTCAGCCGTTAGCAAATACTTTAAGACCACAGTCCTCTATTGTATGGGATTGTGAAGAAACACATGAATGGCACATAACTGTTAGAACCGATGGATCTTGTTAGTCCCCGTGACCTTTCAGGAAGATCACCTCCTGATAAAATATTGCAGTGATGTATAACACTGTCTAAACCAGGCAGAAGAGGGTGAACATGTCCCATGAATGGACATGGCATACTATATCATGTATCACACGTTAACCAGATAAACAAAAGACTTTCATTGGGGTCATTCTGCAAGTGAATTCTTTATTGTTTTCTGATTATCATCAGGCTCTTTTGTTAATGGCGTGGCGACGTAATGTAACATACTAACTTAATCATCATATAACGCCTGAAAGTTCTTCATTGCCAACGATCTGACAGTGTATATATCCTGAAATGTATTTCAAACATCGTTCATTATTGTCATTTCTCCTAGAACAGTATGTTTGTAGTTTGAAGAAGGGTATGCTTATTTAGGTCATATGAGGTCATATATTGCTTGTGATGTCCCTAAAATACACAAAATAGCAACACAATAATACATACAGATGCTCTTCAAACATACTGATGTCATCTGAAGGTGTGTAAGATGTGCAGGACATGTGAACTCTTTAACCTTTAATGGAGTACTTACTTTCGCACAGTAGTGTATCTGGACCAACTGAAGAAAGGATCTTGGAACGTTAAGGCGAAGAGGTTGCATGGAATAGTGTGTAATTAACAGCATGGATACTTACCAAATATTTCGTGTTTTGATGACACAGGATATACATGTAATGTCGTGGAAATGTGATCTTCTTCATCATGACTTGACATCCAAATAGTAAACCCATTGTTTCCATCAAAACATGGAACATATTTAAACGTAATCATAAATGACCTTTGGAAGTTCAACATCAGTTACTATCGGCTGTATCCATTTCTCAATGCACACGTTATATTAAGTTAACTGTGAGTGAACCGAACTGGAATACTCGGCAAGATTCGGCGATACTGTGGAGATGTCCAGTGATTAACGAGCAACTGCTTAATGGGACTGGGGGTAGCATGGACTGTGTGATTTACAACTCTAAACACGAGAGTGATTAATCTCCGCTCCGCCCGCTCACTGCCATCGACACAAAGTCAATTGCATGTCAACTGCAAGTTTGGTGTTGGAGTTGGACAAGATCGTGTGATGTATGTAGCATTTACTACAAATTGCATTCAATTCTTGTACTAAAGATATCAGAATAGTTCATCGAAATTACATATAGCATTCATGATAAAGGTGGAGCAGCGATAGATATCTACATTAGTAAAATCAGGTTGACCTTTGGACTATTTGTCCTGAAACTAGAGACATCTAAACAAGATTGGCACCGGTACCTTAAGGTGACATAGTCAAAGATTGAAATGGCGACACGAGTGAGTGAGTGAGTCTAGTTTTACGCCGAATTTAGCAATATTCCAACAATATTACGGCGCGGGACACCAGAAATGGGCTTCACATATTGTACCCATGTGGGAATCGAACCCTGTTTTTCGGCGTGACGAGCGAACGCTTTAACCAGTAAGCTACCCCACCGCACTCCAGACATGAATGTATAAAACATGACCGGTGATTATATATGTAAATGACTGAATCAGTTCTAAAATATTTATTATTACGTAACACTTGTAACCACTCAATAATGCATCCCTTAAATGTAGCATCCAGTATGTCCACACAACGCTGATTTACGTGTCAATCCACAAAGCCATGTTGTAGGTACCATCAAACTGACAACATCATCCCCCCTTCAATGGGATGCTGCGTTAAGGTT